ATTATTTCCCTTCTACGCGGCTTAATGTTTTATTTTATTATTTTATTATTTCCCTTCTACGCGACTTAATGTTTTATTTTTATTATTTTATTATTTCCCTTCTACGTGACTTAATGTTTTATTTTTATTATTTTATTATTTCCCTTTTACGCGGCTTAATGTTTTATTTTTATTATTTTATTATTTCCCTTCTACGCGACTCAATGTTTTATTTTTTATTATTTTATTATTTCCCTTCTACGTGACTTAATGTTTTATTTTTATTATTTTATTATTTCCCTTCTACGTGACTCAATGTTTTACTTTTTTATTTTATTATTTCCATTCTACGTGACGACTTTACCGAAAGAACCAAGAAGACCAAGTTACTCGCAGTCCAAGGTTTTGCCGCGTCAATATGAATGGACGTGTCACCCGCAGTCCGCTTTCAAATTCGTGACGTCGATTTATTTCCAACTTGAGGGTTTTGATTCCTTCCTGTGTTTCCTCAAGTCGTGATTGAAAGTCGCCTGCGAAAGACACAAAAATTAACCCGTAAAAACAAAGTGTTTCACTCTAAATCCTTTATATGCGTGGCGGCTCGAGTCCTCTCGTCCTCTGGCTTGAGATGGCTGCCACCTATGGGTCAGATGATTGTCTGCCACCATTAAGCAATTGGTAATTAAATATTTTAAAAAAAATTCCCTAAACAGTGTAAAATTTTGGAAAAAAAATTTCACGAACATTAATTGTCTCGCACAACGAGTCTGTGTGCAAAATGTCAGCTCGATTGGATCACGGGAAGTGGGTTAAAAAACTACCGAAAGATTTGCACGGTCCTAAGCAAGCAAGCAAGCACGCAAGTGAATTTAATATAAAGGATTTAAAAACAACTCAAATTGGGATCACCTTTAACGGTCAGATGTGCAAGATATTTTCCTAGCACACACACGTACCCAGGCTGTTGGCAAAAGCACACAACTTGAATGGACTCTCACTCTCACCCGTTATTTCTTCGAGTCCAACACAGTTTTCAATGGAATCTTGCAGCTTTTGAGAGGTCGTTTTGAGTTCTTCATTTTTTGACTCCAAAAGCTCAGATTTTTCTTTGACCTAAAAGTGAAAGACAGCTCTGATGTGATAACTACTCAACAATACGACCGTATACACGAATCTATGAAATGACCTACTGCCGGGCAAGGCAAGTTTTCTGGTTTGCAAGTCATCATTGAATTCAAATAAGTTTTGTTTACCGGAATGAAAATAACTTTCAAAAATCAAGATACACGAATCTATGAAATGACCTACTGCCGGGCAAGGCAAGTTTTCTGTTTTGCAAGTCATCATTGAATTCAAGTAAGTTTTGTTTACCGGAATGAAAATAACTTTCAAAAATCAAGATACACGAATCTATGAAATGACCTACTGCCGGGCAAGGCAAGTTTTCTGTTTTGCAAGTCATCATTTAATTCAAATAAGTTTTGTTTACCGGAATGAAAATAACTTTCAAAAATCAAGATACACGAATCTATGAAATGACCTACTGCCGGGCAAGGCAAGTTTCTGGTTTGCAAGTCATCATTGAATTCAAATAAGTTTTGTTTACCGGAATGAAAATACTTTCAAAAATCAAGATACACGAATCTATGAAATGACCTACTGCCGGGCAAGGCAAGTTTTCTGGTTTGCAAGTCATCATTGAATTCAAATAAGTTTTGTTTACCGGAATGAAAATAACTTTCAAAAATCAAGATACACGAATCTATGAAATGACCTACTGCCGGGCAAGGCAAGTTTTCTGTTTTGCAAGTCATCATTGAATTCAAATAAGTTTTGTTACCGGAATGAAAATAACTTTCAAAATCAAGATACACGAATCTATGAAATGACCTACTGCCGGCAAGGCAAGTTGTCTGGTTTGCAAGTCATCATTGAATCAAATAAGTTTTGTTTACCGGAATGAAAATAACTTGAAAAATCAAGATAAAGAGGTGAAAATGTGTACATCCCATATATTTCGATTTAAAGCTTTTTTCGTGACTGCAGGGATTCATCTTCTTGTTTCTTCGTCAAGTCACGTAGAAGGGAAGTAATAAAATAATACAAATAAAAATAAAATTATTCTCACGACGTTTCGGCCACAACGCAAGTAGCCGTCCTCAGGTGAAAACCAGGTCTGTCGAGGCGACAGCGTCTGACCATTTTTTATTACTTCCCTTCTACGTGACTTTACCGAAAGAACCCAGAAGATGAATCCCATATATTGTGTTGAACAAATGCATTTAGGCACTGAATACGTTTTAAAGTGGAAAGTAGTGACATTTTAAGCATTTAAAAGTTCACTTGTTAAGCAGTTAAAATGTGATCAGTGGCGGCTCCTGCAAAATCTCTCAGGGGGGGCAAACGTCTGATGATTGATAGGATAAGCTCCACCCTGCAATGGATAAATTAACAGCTTAAAGCAGGTAAAGGCAACTTCACTTCTTTAATATTAATGACAAATAAGAGTGACGCGTACAATACATCTTGTTTGGTTTATATAGCTCACTATTAGAACAACCACTCAAGTTTCTTTTATTAAAGATTCCCTAGGTGGCGACAAATTATATTGTTGATGAAACGTGCTTGACGTATGATGACGTGAGCACGTTAGGGGCGAGCCCTCCCGGGAAGCCGTAGAGAATGCTTTGCAGCGCCCGCCTGTCGAAAACAGAACATCTTTCAATGCAAGTCTATGGGAACCACTCGGGCGATTCTCAGCCGGAGTGAAATCGCCCAAAAAGATGCGGTACTCCACAGAACGTGACATGACGCTGATTGGACTATATCCAGAGGCTGACAGTGACGGCTAGCGTGTACTCTGTGGTTGAATGACAGTTGGTGGTGCGTCGCCCAATTCGCCCTAATGAAAACCGCCCCTGAATATAGCAAAAGCGATCAGCTCACAAATTCCACACCCACCTGGCTTTCTATAATCGCCGACTTGTTTGTGAAGTCCTCCTGAGCTCTTCCCATCTCCTGCACG